CCCCAAAACCCCAAAACCCCAAAACCCCAAAACCCCATTTTGAACTTAATAAGCTTATGAGGATATATTAGATATTGATTAATCATAGGAAGATAATTTATTGTAATAATGTAAGGTCAAGGCCGTGAATTAAAGCCTTAAGGCATTGATGTGTAAGAACCACTTCTTATGTAAATAATTCCTATATTGATAAAATTAGGTCCCCGTCTCAAAAGGATCGTGACTTAGCTATTGACAAAGATGGAAATAAATATCAAGCTGATGATTAAACCAGTGCTTTATTAAAAGCTATTAATGACAAGATAAAAGAAAAGAATGCCAAGAAGAATCCTCCAATGGTCCCATACAAAAAAATTCTTCTTACATTTGCAGATAGAACTGATAGGCTTTTCTTAACTATAGGGTTTAGTTCTGCAATACTCTGTGGACTAGGACTTCCATCCTTTGTGTTTCTTTTCGGTGATATTGCAGATAGCTTCTAAGGGTTCATGCCCGTCAATGAGATTCTAGATAGAATTACAAACGTAGCAATGATTTTGACTTTGATCGGTCTTGGTGTTTGGGTATTTAGTTACTTATTCTTCTCATTCCTCATTATTGCTTCAGAAAGAATTGGATAAAAGACCAGATGCATGTACTTGCAAGCTATCTTAAGACAAGAAATTTCCTGGTTTGATGAGATCAACACGTCACAACTCTCTTCTAGACTTGGCAAGGAATGCTAAGCTATTTAGAGAGCAATTGGAGAAAAAATAGGAACAATTGTCATGGCCTTTGCAATGTCTTGTTCAGGTTTATTCTTTGCATTTTTCAAAGGTGCTTATTTCAGTGCCTTTCTTATGTGCTACTTTCCATTAATGTTCTTTATGAGCATGGTCATCACCATAGCTTTTTCAAAAGGCTTCTCAGAGAATATGAAAGCTTATGGTTAGAGTGCCGGATATGCAGAGCAGGCTTTGAATGCAATAAAAGTTGTATTTGCTTTTGGCTAAGAAGAGACAGAGATTAAAAATTATGAGAAATACTTGATGAAAGCAAGGAAAACTGGTATCAAGACTCATTTTACTGGTGCTTTAGCTATAGGAGGATTCTTTTTATCATTATATGGATACTACTCTTATTCATTCTATATTGGAAGCTTTATGGTAACAGAGTCTATTGAAAATATAAACAGTAAAAAGATTTACACATCAGGTGATGTAATGGCATGCTTCCTTGGTTTAGTCTATGGAATATTTTCTCTAGGTCTAGCTGCCCCAAATTTTAAAGCTTTGACTGAGGGTAGAGTAGCAGGAAAAATGGCTTATGAAATAATTGAAAGAGTTCCCAAAATTAATCTAGATGACCCACAAGCTGAGTAATGTGAAAATTTAACTGGCTAGATTGAGTTTAAGAATGTTACATTCTCATATCCAACTAGACCAGAATAGAAAATACTAGACGATTTCAGTGCTGTTTTTGAAGAGGGAAAGACAACAGCCCTAGTAGGAGCGTCAGGCTCAGGAAAAAGTACTATAGTTTAATTGATTGAGAGATTTTATGATCCAGATCATGGAAGTGTTTATGTGGATGGAAAAAATCTAAATAAGATCAATTTGAGGAAATTTAGAGAAAAGATTGGATATGTTGGTTAAGAGCCTGTATTGTTCAATATGTCAATAAAAGAGAACATTCTCTACGGAAATCCGAATGCCTCTAATGAAGAAGTCATCTAAGCATTGAAATCAGCAAATGCATGGGACTTTATTTAGGAAAAAATGATTCAAAATGGAATAGACACTAATGTTGGTAACTCAGGAGGTTAATTATCAGGAGGCTAAAAGCAAAGGTTAGCTATTGCTAGAGCGTTTATCAAGAAACCCAAGATCCTATTGCTTGATGAAGCCACTAGTGCTCTTGACAAAAAGAATGAGAAAGAAGTATAGGCTGCTATTGATAAGATCAGACAAGAATTAGGCTCAGTTACTACGATTGTTGTAGCTCATAGACTTTCAACAATCAAGGAGGCGGATAAAATTATAGTGATGTAGAAAGGTAAAATAAAGGAGGTAGGAACACACAGATCTTTAATAAGTGAATATCCAGAAGGAATATACTCAAAATTTGTGAAAGAGCAAGAGTAAGCTGAGCAACACGTTGACATGAATGATAATTCTTAGGAAATTCAGGAAGAATAAGAATAATAGAAGATCATTTCTTAAGTTAATTATTCTGACAACAGTGCAACAGTTGTGATAAAGAAAAAGACTTAAAAAGAACTTGACCTTGAAAAACTTGAATTAGATATGAAAGTAAAAGTTGATTAGCAAGATCAATTAAGAGATGATAAAGAAGCTCAATTCATGAAAAGCTAAGGTAAAAAGTCTTAATTCTCAAGATTACTTGTTTACAACAGACCTAGAATAAATATCTTTATTGGTATATTTGTCTCTATAGCTTAAGGTGGTCTCATGCCTATATTTGGAGGAGTAATGGCAAAAATGCTGTTTGTATTAATGGAAGTCTAAGATCTTGGATAAATGAGAAAGGAATCCAATTATTGGTGCGCAATTATGCTAATTATGGCATGTGGTGCTTTTCTTACAGGTTTCAGTTAGAAATTTTCCTTTGGAATAATTGGTGAGAATGTTACAGCCAATATAAGAAAAGGTCTCTATAGAAAAATAATAGAAAAACACTAAGGTTGGTTTGATGAAAGAGATAACGCTCCAGGAGTACTAACTTCAACTCTAGCTAGTGATGCTTAAATTATAAACGGAGTTTCAACTGAGGGGCTAGGGTCTATTCTCGAAGCTATTTGTGCTGTTCTTGCTGGAATAGGCATCGGCTTTTATTTCTCTTGGAGAATGTCGCTAGTCTGCATTGGCTGCACACCTTTCATAGTGATTAGTGGATATATGGGAGCTAAATTCTAATAAGGATTGAGTGTAGAATCAGCAGATTCACATAAATTTGCAAATTTACTAGCAGGGGATGCCATTATGAATTATAGAACAGTTGCAAGTTTTGCTCATGAGCAGTAAATCGTCAAAGATTTTGAAACCCTTCTAAATGAACCAAGGAAGAAGGCTGTAAAGCAGGCAAATTTCATTGGTGGCTCTTATGGATTTTCGTAATTTGTTTTATATGGTGTAATAGCGACTTTGTTCTACGCTGGTGCATAATTTCTAAATGCCTATAACGAAAATCCACTTCACATGTTTATCACAATATTCGCTATGATGTTTGGTGCTCTTGAAAGTGGCTAAGCTTAATAATTTGGTCCAGATATGGGTAAAGCTAAATAAGCAGCAACTAAAATTCTCAAAATAATGGACTAAGACACTTAAATCACTTCTTTAAGACCAAAAGATGAAGAAATTGTGATTAATTCTGAAAAATTCATTGGAGAAATAGAATTTAAAAACGTCTGGTTTAGATATCCTTCTAGAAAGAATGATTGGGTGCTAAAAGGACTCAATCTAAAAATCAGACCTAATGAAACTGTGGCTCTAGTAGGAGAATCAGGATGTGGAAAAAGTACAACAGTATCTCTTCTTTTGAGATTCTATGATCCAGATCTTGGATCAATTACTATTGATGGAATTGACATTAAGCAATACAATTTGAGATCTCTAAGACAAACAATGGGACTTGTAATGCAAGAGCCTACTTTATTCAATTACAGCATACAAGAAAATATTCTTTATGGTAACTTAAGTGCCAAAAACTCAGAAATAAGAGAAGCTGCTTAGGTAGCAAATGCTTTAGAATTTATAGAGAGTTAGCAGATTCTATAATTTGATGAAAGCTGTGAGGGTTTATTCAAGGAATTTAAGAACAGATTTGAAACAATAGTCAAAGTTATTGGCGAGAAAGAATATGCCAGCATGATGGTCGATCTATAATCCCTAGTTAAAGACGAAATTAAGAAAGGCTAATTTAAGGCAGTTGAAGGAGACATAGACACCAGACAATAATAAGAGCTTTTTGATATTCAGCTGAGCTAGGGTTTTAAGATTGATTGTGGTCTCAGAGGTAGTAAGTTATCTGGAGGATAAAAGCAAAGAATAGCAATCGCTAGAGCTATTATTAGAAAACCAAGAATTCTAATTCTTGACGAAGCCACTTCAGCTCTTGATGAGGAGTCCCAAAAGAAGGTTTAAATTGCCCTTGATAATATTATGATCGAGAGGACTTCTATTGTTATAGCCCATAGACTAAGTACAGTAGAAAAATGCGACAGAGTAGTGGTGCTTGAGAGTGGAAATTTAGTAGAGGAAGGTAAGTTCCAAGAACTCAAAAACAAAGAAGGTGGTTACTTCGCATAATTAGCTTCTGGAATGCAAAAGAATACCGGTGCATAGACTTAGAACAAAGAAGAGTGAAGCTGGATTTTAGATCAAATGATTATCTATAATTTAAATTTGAATTGAAGATTTTAATGCTAATATAGCATATATTGATGGGATGGGGTTTTGGGGTTTTGGGG